TGCTATTTTTGGTGGTTTTTTTCTGTTTTTATCTCTGTTGGTGGGTAAACATGACAGAGAACGGGATTTTGTTTTTCCTGGGACGATCATAAGAGACAGTTAACTGACTGTAGAGAGGACACAAATGGATCGAAATGTACCCAGGAACCTCGTGCACATTCGTGCAGTAGGCAATGAAGAAAACCTACTGATACTACCTGACTACAGAAACCATGGAAGGTGGAGGGATGGGGTTCGAAACTATGATCCACTGGTTGTTAGTCAACTCTCTACAGCAATGAACAACAGTTCCCTGCACAATAAGTAAACAACATAATGTCCATAATAAATAAAGGAGATCCGTGAACCAAACAATAATAAAATGTTAACCAGTTATCTTAACCTCGTCCAGGTAACTAGTTCACTAGTTACTAGCCCGTCCTAAACCAGGATAATGACAGACGACAGGGCATAAGGATACCAACCCTAGCCCGGAAAACCAATCTAACCGCTAAACAAACTTCAAAGCACAAAGAAAATATAAAATTAAACTTATTCCTCGCTGCAATACGAGAGAAGAAATGACGCCAGTTGGTGAAAGCAGTCGCGAAGCCAATCGGTCGATGTGTTTTCGCGTCTCTCGATCAAACCAAATGTAAACATGGTGACATGGAATATCCAAACAATGTTTGAAGCTGGCTGGCAAGGCTGTCCAGATTGCAAAAGAGATGAGAAGATGTAGCATAGGAGTGCTAGGCGAGGAATCTGCGGAAGCAGATAAAATGGAAGTGGACTCTCCAAACTCTTAACTGAAGAGTCAATAATCTACTCCGATATTGTCACCCACACGACAACCTCGAGCACAAAGAGTTTTCAAGTGCCTATCATCATGTCCCCAACACCATCGAAGGCTCTCTCTCATGCAGTGGGAACAAATCTCTTTCAGGATAAGCATCATGACAGCAAGATTCAACTCAGAAGGAAGGAAAAGTCACAATCATTCAGAGCTACGCTACGCTATGCACCTACAAATAATTCAGATCAAGGGAGGGAGGAGGAATTCTATAGACAACTGCAATCACTACTGGACAAGACCCCACTCCAAATGGCGGCATCAAAATTCTAATGGGTGGGGTGACATGAATGCCAAACGGGGAGCAGACAATACAGGGAGAGCTCATCGTTAGTCCAGAAGTACTAGTTTGTGAAATGAGTGAGAATGGAGAACTGTTTGAAGACTTCTGCACATTCAACGATTTGGTGATTGGAGGCGAGGCAGTTTGTACAAACACAAGGATAATCAATCACAAGGCAGCAACATGGATTTGATTTCACCTCATACCAGGACACACTATACTGAAAATCAGATCGACTTCATCTCAGTCTCAAGAAAGTGGAGATGCAGCCAGTCTACTGGACACAAGATCAGATCAAGAAGGAGAGTAGATGTAGGTTTACACTACTTACTCACTATCTAGTGCAAGGAACCTACATTCAAAATCAAGTTGAAAGCCTTCAAAGAAGCTGGTAATGATAGACCACAGTTCAAGTTCAACACCCACAACAGAAACTGAACTCAAGGACGAAACTGCAAAGGACATCTTCACGTTGTCAGCCATCAGGACAAAATGGAAGATATTGAGCAACATCTCTGGAGAAACCTGTGTGGATAAACACTGGAACTCTTTGAAAGAGACTTGGAAAGAAACCCGCATAACCGTACTAGGAAGGAAGGAAGGAAGGAAAAGCGGCAAGACATGCAATGGATCTCCATGGATACACAGAAGCTGACAGAGCAGGGAGGGAAGATGGTGAAATAGAAGACAAACCAGCGCAGTGCAAGAATGAACAAAGAAAAGAGGAACTGAATACAAACTACAAAACACTACAATGGACAAAGAAGTGAAGAGTGCGAGCAAAGACAAAAGACACTTCCACGACACACTTGCAACTGAAGCAGAAAAGGCTGCAGGTAGGACAGACAGAGACCTGACAACACTATATCAACACAAAAGAAACCAATGAAAGGTAGTGAAGAAAACCTAGTTACCGTCAAAGAGAAGAAACAAAGGAAACGATGGGCTGACCACTAAAAATACTCTTGAATCCACCACCACCACCACCAATACCTGCAACTCGTCGAAAAATACCACCAGCTGCCCAGCAACAAAATTACCAGTGAACACAAACCCTCCAACAAAAGCAGAAGTGAAGTCCTGAACACCATAAAGTTGCATAAATTCGGGAAAGCAGCAGAATCAGATGGAATCCCGCCAGAAACACTCAAAACAGACGTACAAACAACAATGGACATGCTCACACCACTACTGCACAAGGTTTGCAAGGAAAGATACCTGCCAACTGACTGGAAGAAGGGCTACCTTGTCAAACTCCCAAACGACGGAGACCTAAGTCTTTGCAAAAACTGGCTTCGAATCATCCTTCTGTCCACCTCAAGCAAAATATTAAGCCGCATCATCCTGAAGAGACTAACAAATACGCTGGATTCAAAATTACGACGGGAACAGGCTAGCCGGCTTCATGAAGTACAAATCATGTGCCGATCAAATCGCAACACCACCCGTCATCATAGAACAGAGTATAGAGTGGCAGTCAACTGAACTCAACCTCATCGATTTTGAAAAGGCCTTCGACAGCGTCGACCGAGAAGTAATTCGGCAACTGCTTCAACACTACTGTTTCACTACCACAAACTCTTATCAACCTCATTCAACAACTATATGAAGACGCCACATGCAAAGTATTCACAATGGGAAGCTCAGTGCTGCCTTTGAAGAGAAGACAGGGGATAGGAGTAAGACAAGGTTGCCACCTACTATCACCGATCATCTCCTGATTGTGGTCGACTCGCCTGGCCTCGACTGGATCATGCAGCAAACCGTGAGGAGCGAGATGATAGGCATAGGCTGGCAGGGCTGATGAAAAGACCCTACACGACTTGGATTTCGTCGATCATGATTTATGTCTAATTTCTTGTCACACAAGCTCGAAGATCTACAGGCAACAACCAACAAGTTGATAGAAGAGGGAGGGCAGCGAATACGGAACTTCCTTCAGGTGAACGTAGAGAAGACAGAGGTGATGAAGATACCCAACAACCACCACCACCACCACCAACGAGCACCATCATCATCAACGGGAGGAACCCAAAGGAATTAGTCTTTCACCTATCTACCTAGGCAGCATCGCTGCAACTACAGGTGGAACAGATGAGGACGTCAAATCCAGTTGGGAAATCTACTGCACTCACCACAAAGAACAAGATCTAGATTTTCAACACTAATGTCAGTCAGTGCTGATTGAGAGACTTGGCGTGTCACGAAAGCATTTCCAACAAACTACATACACACATCACATGGAAAGCTGCCACCTACGCTCACTCGATACTGACACTGAAGATCAAATGGCCAGAATAACAAGAATAAGCAACAAGGAACTCTGGCTGGCTGGCAACGAACCAGTCAACAACCTATCACCCAACAAATATACAGAAGAAAGTGGTGATGGATTTGATTAGACATATACCAAGAAGATTATTCAGGGACATCAAGCACCAGGTTAGACCCCCAAGTGGAACACGCATGGAAACGACAAGTTGGGCGTCCCATCTAAGGGTGACATGGAGATCAAGTGAGGAAGAAATGAAAGCTTGTGGGCAGTAGTGGAGGCATGTTGAAAAGACTGCAGAAAAGAGAGTGAAATGGAGACGTGCTACTGAAACCCTATGTTCCACTAGGAACCCAATGGACAAATAATAATAAAATAAACAGCTACCCTACAAGAATCTATGATGATAAACTGAAAAACACTGAAATCTACGCAAAGTTGCAAAAGTCATAATTCTGTACAACTCGAGAGTGACATCACAAAAAAACGAAACTTTCCAATGAGCTTTTCCTGTTTTTTTTTATCAAAACACAGGTAAATAAGAGAAATAATTATTCAAGCTTCCGCCGCTGAGACATGCATTTGCGTCAAAGACCGATTTTAGGCTGTGTCATTTAGAATCTGTCCAACCACCGATTTCAGCTGTTATATGGATCTCCAACGTAAAGTCTAAATTTTTGTGCACGGTCCATAACAGCAGTAAAAGACTTCTTGGATTGATGCAGTAATCTACTTCACACCTAACATTGTGCGATAGGGTAGACAGATTACTTGGCGTTAGTAACAACACATATCACGGCCATCTGCGTAAAAGGTTCACACCCTCGTCAGCTGACATTCCTTTTTTACATTAAAACTGTATACCTGACTTCCACATTACTAAGGTCGTAGGCACCAGGAAACACGGTCTGTGGTCACGCACCACAGTCTTCGTAGTGTTTTCTCGCGTTTGTGAACAAAGTCGAGGTCAGACAGATGGTATTTGGCAAGACAGACTAGTCGATTAATGAGATTGTTAACCTTCATTGGCTGAAATGGCATCGATATACACTGTGCATGCACACCCAACGCCTACCTTGACGTGTAATGCTGGAAGAGGATCCAGGGTCTCCAGATCAAGATGTTACATCAGTGCATGAAGTCCTTCAATGTTGGTCTGAGTTGTGTAAAGAGGTGTAGACTACCTAGCTGAGGTCACTGAGACGATAGGAGTCAGTGGTTGAGAAGTCTTGGTGACACAGTAGAGGGTCAGTTACAATGGCATAGGTGTGTTCACTTCTTCTACCGCTTGAATATTCGCGATAATCTTTGTCTTCAACTTGTTTGTTCTCTCACCCACCATATGTTCTTCTATACCTTAATGTGTAGTAAGCACATTTCAATAGTATTACACTTCGGAACGAGGAAAACATCCCCCATAACACACTGGAATACAGAATAAATGCCTATGTATATATTTGTGCTCAAACACCACAGAAATGCAAATGACATAGTTATTATTATTATTATACACATCAATAGAATTCAAATATAGACAAGAATAGGATTGAAAAACAAAAGACAAACAAAAGTATAGTCCAGAGTGTAACGGAGAATAGTATACTCCACTTTTCTTACGCACATTTTTTATCCACACATCCTTTGCCTAATTCATTATACTCTTGACTGGATATCCACATTTGTTGGAATGTACCCTGTAAAAGTAGTGAATAAACAGTAACACTAGCAAGCATAGTATAGAGATAAAAAATGTCAGATGGTCGACGGCGATCGGCTTTCTGTTGATTACCTACCTACCTACCTACCTCTAAGCATACAAAACTAGTCAAGGTGCATTGTGATGCTGAGTTGACTCTTGTAGTCTAGTGAGATACGACCACATTACAATAAGGTACATTTTCAGGAGTTGACACAATCTGAAATTGGTTACCTTCTAGTGACCGACCAATGCTTAAAAACAAAAATGTTATAACGATCAGCTTAGGTTGAACTGTGTTCCCCAGCAAATGGGAATATCTTACAAATGAATAGGGATTCGTGGGGATTCAGTGGTTTTTCAAGTTGGTATTCATCATGGACTGATACCAGTAGGAGGAACACTTAAACCTGGGAGTACTGGACAACTGTTTCGTCCCACTAGTGTGAGACTTAGTGCGAACCCATGACCTACCCCGCCAAGAACCGAACCCAGGACCTTCAGATTTCGTGGCCAGCACGTTACCACTAGGCCACTGATTCGACGAATCCAGTGGTCCATATTCCCAACTTTGTCAGTTCACGACATAGGGCGACCACCACCCAATATCATCGTTGAGTATTCGACCTCATGGCCACCAGGTTTGTCTAACCTGTGTAGGCTAAGTGGGTTAACAGTTATCTGTGTACTGACAACCAAATTACATAACTTTAGGTGGACAGAAATCTGAGTATGCTTGGCATGCGTCTCATACCTGTCGAATGTAAGTCTGCTGCAAGTACCCCCAGCTTAATGATTGGGAGTGAAGTGGTGGAACATACCGACCACTTGACTTAGAAAAGGCAATTGCATCAGTCCAAAAGGGCTGGTTGCTAACGTGATCTCAGCTTGGATACCGAAGATACCTTTGGCATTGCCGACGTTCGTCATCTATGGTGCCGACAGGCGAGATATCCTACTATGTAATAAAGGATGAGTATACTTCGCTGCAGCATGCTCTGTCCTGTTATGCGGCTGTGAGAAAAGCCGTTAAAAGCAGGAGATATGAAGAAACTTCAGGTTTTTGACCATGGGTTTCTGAGCAGCAGGGCTTGGGTGTGGTAAAATCACCAAGTGAGCAATGTAGAGGTTCTACGCAAAGAAGGTAAGTCAGTCAATGAAATAGTCAAATTTCATTGTCTGTGGTGGCTTGGGAATTCGCTGTGTATGATGAGTCTGCATCTACTCACATGTGCAATGTTAGAACAGATTGGAAAAAAGCTTACAATCGCCAGGCCAAAACGTGGCACCAGTGCATGAAGTCCATGACTGATGGCTTTAGCCCGGTTAGAGTTCCAGGACGATAAGGATCACTTTTAATCTACTTTGATATCAGCCTGTTTCCATCCACCTGTTCTTTGTATGCTATTGTTACGTGTGCAAACTTCAAATGTTGCAATCGCGTGTCAAATTTTAAGTGGAACACAATTAATTTTACTCACCAAAGAACCTAGGATGGAACCGCCAATCCAACTGGAATAACGTCGTTCAGCTGCAGTACTAGGGAAGTTGACCTTAATCGCATACTCTAAAAAGGAAGAGAAAGAGAAGGAGATAATTATTCTTGTATCATAATGATTAAAACGAAACCTACCGGTGGTGTTTTAATATTCAAATCACGTTGTAAACGTTCGGTGAATCCAGTGATTAAACTATTTCCACCAACAACAATGACATTACTGTATAAGCTCTAAAATGTATCAGAAAAAAAGATGATAAGATTCAATGAATATAGATGGAAAAGCAGAGGTTTCACATATATTCGCCAAGGTAACCTGGTTGTAACAAAAATCGTCCAGTTAAGTACTACATGATCGATGGTGAAGTGGTATCTAGAGGTGAAATATACCTTTATATTGAGGAGTTCCACAGACTCGCAGCACCTTCTGGGGTTCTGATGGATAGAGGCCGGGAGTGAAATCCAGGATGTGCATTTCGTCCTATTTGGGACTGACTCGCCAATTGAATGTACTTGGCTTCCGGGAACCCCTTGAAACCCGAGACCGATTGCTTTAAACACCAAAGCTTTATTCACTAGGCCATCGATTAATGCTAGCCATGAGATGATATGAATATAATTTACACACTAAAGCTTGATATGTACATCTCAGAAACAACACATAAACACTCAATGAATAGACAAACAAAAGGTTTAACAAGTGGTGCTTTGCGTTTAATTTACCAAAAAGAGTGAAAACTAATTAGTCAATATAGACGCAGTGATTGTCAAAGGTGAATTCACAGAGCACAACTGAACTCCAATCACATGAATTTATTGATGTATTTTTAAGGTAGCATTTATCACGAACTTACAACAGTCTGAGAACCACGGAAAATTTGAGAGCAATGGATAGATGTATAAATTTCAAACTGTTCATTAGTGACATACTTCAAGATAAGGATATCATGAAGTTCAGATGAGAAGCTGTTACTTGTGGTATCAACCAGTTCGAAGTGTAGTGGAAGCAAACTGAAGACCTTGGTAAACAGATAGGCTATATCGTTAATTGGCAGAAGTAGGAAACTATGGACTATTGAACTTCAATCCAATGGTTGACGCATTTGTGGGTACGCACAGCTGAAGAGTCCTGGATTAGGAGGAGACTGTTGTCCAGTACTCCCAACTGATGTCAGTCCACGATGACTACTACTACCTTTAAAAATATCCCCGTAAACAAAAAACTACATTAATCCATTTCTAAACATTTCCACTTCATAGTAATTCAAAACGAACAAAGAAACACACTCAGCCACCTTGTGCACATCGCTGTGATAGGCGATGAGCCATACCTATTGCTTGAAGGCTACTGATACTACCTGGCTGCTCAAACTTCAGAAGGTGAAGCGGGGCTCGAACTCGCGACCTGGTGGTTGGTAGTCATCTCCTAAAACTACCTAATCACAGCTCTACAGTTTTGTAACTTTATTTTATGTTTAGAAACTTTATGGAATCATATAGCTTAATCTAGATTTCTCAATTGTGAACCAGTTCACCTTTCGACTTCACAATAATGTTTTTTTCCTAGTCTTATTGTCATGACCTGTCATGGTTTGTTCTCATTTGACCTCGACTACCCAATAGTGTAAGTCCATTTGTGTTATATCAAATATTACCACTGATCTCGCAGTCTTTTATATATATATATATATATATATATATATATTGAGACTCGGTTTTCAAGGCTTCAGTAGGAAGACTAAGAAGTCTTTTTCAAAGTAATGACGAATTACAACGTGCATTTTCGTTTGATTATGGAAACATCTCAAACACTTATTATGACTATATTGTTGCTTCCATTATCCCGTGATTGATTGGAACGAACCGATCGGTCTCCATTAGCATATAGGTTCCGTGAAGATGCCTCGAGTTTTAGAGGGAACAATATCTCTAACTGGGAGGCAGGTAAATCAAGCTGAGTGCAAAATAGGACGAGACGCGCACCCTGGACTCTACTGTTAGCCTCCTTCTATCATTAATAACTTATTGTGACTGTCGTGTATGCTTTAAAAATGCAATTAACTGAGGAAAATAAACTGAAGCCAGTAAAATCTCACTCAACGACACGCCCGTTCGAGTAGTAGGCAGTGAACCATACACTCATTGTGTGAGCTAACCATACTACTTGGCCTGCAAGACCTTGGTAGGTGGAGCGAGGTTCGAGTCCGTGGCTCATGAGTTGGAAGTCGAAAGCCTAGACTGATGAGTCACGGGTCCACATACAGGTCAAGTGGATGACATAAGCCATGCAATATAATACTAACACCTTGTAGTGAAGACAGTTCGTTCAAGAATAGAAAGAAACATTTCTGATTACTGAATGCGAGACGAAGTTATAGTATGGAGGTATGTTCTGCATTCTGTCAGTATATTTAAAGTTGTCAGTTTATTTGTAAACCATCATGTTGTAGTGTCCCATACCTCCTCGAAATAAATAGCCTAGGGTTCGATGAGATTCAACATTGATGCTGATCTTTACAGTTTTTATCGGACTTGCTCGTCTTATGGCACACCTCAAGCATCCATACGGTTGGCACGCTGTCGTGTGACGTTGCACTGTTAATAATCGTCTAACTAGCTAGCTATTTTGAACGCATCTTTATTTTGAGACAACCTCGCACATAAACTATTCCATCTGACTACGTTATTGTGTTCTTCCTTGGTCTCGTATTCGCGGGTATATTACACGTAAGGATAATTAATGATTGGCCTGTGCCGATTTCTTGCTGTCATTGCTATTCATTACCGTCGAAATGATCCCCATGCACTTCTCAAAGCTGCACTTCTGAAGGAAAGTGATCTCACAGATCACCAGCGCCTAGACGAATTGCTTCGTAACATTGGGCTAGGCAGCGACTTAATTACTGAAGTCCTCGCACGCTTGCGAGACGTTATGAACCCACGAACGTTCGGTAATGGCCTTTTCCAAAAACTGTTTCTCTCGAAACTACCACGACCGGTGCAAACCATGTTAGTGACGCTCCGGTCGGTTCCGTTCAATGACTTGGCAGCCTCAGCAGATAAAATATTGTAGATCTCTAGCAGACCTACTTCTAATCTATATTCTGCTTTTTAAAAACCTGAGGGCCAAGATTCAGAGGTAACAGGCCTATATATAACTCGGCTAAACAGTTGCTATGACCTCGAAACCCTAGGTAAAGTAGTGCAACGCAGAAACGCGTGTCAGACTATGGCAGCAACTAGGGTGGCTGGCCTAAAACTAAACCCAACAGGGTGGAAAACCCTGAAAGCTGCAGGTTCCCCCATACAAAAGACAAACAAGCCAGAAAAACTCGATAGTTATACACATTTAACAAAGATACAAATTGGAGTAACAGCCCAACCAGAATGCGTTAACGACACCCGTAGCCGGCGGAAAAAGCCGTTTCACGTATGTCACCGACGCAAGGAAGTAGTTTCTCTACTTCGTCGACACCGGCGCACAAGTTTACGTGTTTGCCGCAACAACGAAGGAACATCATCATGACCTATCCTTCAATCTTCAAGTAGCTAAGGGTAAGGCGATCACGATCTTTAGGAAACAGTATACCTACCTCAACTTAGGTTTACGTAAACCTAGTCAATGGATTTTCATTCTGGCTGATTTTTCTATGTCCATCGTTGGCACAGATTTGCTGGACCATTAGGATCTACTCATAGACGTTCGTCGACGACAACTGATAGATAGCAATACGAAGTTATCTACTGACGGTACCACATACGTAGGTCCGAGTTTGGCCATAGTTAGAACTAAACACTCGGGTGACGCGCCTTATCGGGTAATTTTAGAAAATACCCAGTTACAACAACCGACGCATACTCTGTCGTGCATAACCAGCAATGTTGTGCATCACATCACAACCACAGGTCTACCTGTGGCATCCAAAGCACGCCGCCTAGCCCTAGCTCAGAACGGCAAAAAGCGAATTCGATCACATGCTTGAACTAGACATTATCAAACAGTTCTTGGGCATCACCATTGCATATGGTTCTCAAAAGGGATAGCAACGACTGGCATCCAACCGGTGATTACCAACGGTTCAACGCCGAAACAACACCAGACCGCTACCCAATATCTCATTTCTACGACTTCACTGTGACTTTATGCGAAATGAAAATATTCTCCAAAATCAATCTAGTCAAAGAGTACAATCAGATACCTATGGCAGCAGAAGATATCCTTTTGGCTTGTTTGAACTTATGTGCATGCCTTGTGGTCTTCAGAATGCAACACAAACATTCCAACGCTTTATGGATGATGTCTTCCGTGGTTTGGATTCTGACTATGTCTACATAGATGAATGTCTCATTGCGAGTCCAGATAAGGAAACTCACCTTAAATATTTGGACCTCGCATTCAGCAGATTGAGAAAGCATGGTATCACAGTCAACGTGAAGAAGTGTGAAATAGGAGTCGGATATCTCAAAGGTGAACGTTCATTGACAGACAAAGTGGCGACTATCATGAACTATCCAGAGCCGACCGATGTAAAGCAGCTTCGCACTTTTAATGGTCTGGTAAGTTATTACCGGAGGTTTATTCACAGTTGTGCCTCTGTTATGAGACCACTCAAAGATCTACTTCAAGGGATTACGAAGTGCTTGACTCTGAAAAACGTGGCTAGACTTGCTCTCTCTAACGTCAAGGAAGCCATCTCGAATGCAACCATGCTTATGCATCACAAATCCAATGATGCATTGAGCATTGCATTGCTGTTGATGCATCTGACTCACCAATTGGAGCAGTTTTGCAACAGTTGACTGATAAACAGTGGCAGACTTTAGCCTTTTTCTCGAGGCAGCTAAAGGAAGTGAAAATAAGATACAGTACATTTAGTAGGGAACTCCTAGCTATGCACTGTTCTGTACGCCATTTTCGACAGTCGGTTGAAGGTCATGACTTCATCATTTTTGCGGACCACAAACCGCTAACTTTTCCTCTTAGCTCAGCATCTGTTAAATACTCCCAGCGTGAGTCGCGACAACTGGATCACATTTCCCAGTTCACGTCAGCTACCTGCCACATATCTGGAGCAAATAACTCCGTTGCCGGCGCATTATCTCGAATACCTCCGATAAGCCAAATCGAAGGTGTTGATCTTGTTGAATAAGCTCGGTGTTAAGATCTTGAGCTGAACTATGAGTTGTCGTCCACAACTTTCAAGCTACAACTGTATCCAGTAGAACCCAGCAAATATACAATTTTATGCGATGTCTCCGCTAGTCAGCCATGCCTAGGTCTTCAATACGTTGCACAAACTGTCCCATCCAGGTGACGAGCCACCATCAGGCTTATCCCACAACGTTTCTGCTGGCCGGGAATGAACAAAGACATTAAAGAGTGGGCTCAATCGTGAGTAGCTCGTCGAAAGTGTAAGATCACAAAACACATAAAAAGCTGTTTAGGTTCTTTTCTAGCCCTAGACATGCGTTCCGACCACGTCCATATAACTGTTGTAGGACCTCCACCCAAATCTAATGGATGCACTTACCTTTTCACCTGAGTAGATCGTTTTACGAGATGACCAGAAGCGGTACCTATTACTGCTGAAACTGTCACTTGTCGAAAGATGGGTCACAAGGTCGAAGGTTTTAGTAGGCCAGAAGGTCACAATTCTCATTGTGAGCTACGAATTTTTTCGACTGTTTCTAACTTAATACTGTTATTTTTGGAAGATGTGAAAAGAGCTTCACGATCATTTTCCTGAAATCACACTTGTATGCTGAGAAAATGTGAACAACAGATCATATGACAAAAGAAAGATTAATAAAGATGGATAGCAGTGGAATCCAAAATGTGCATTTCGTCCTATTTGGGACTCATCAGCTGGATGTATCTGCCTCCAAGTGAGTGATGTTGTTTCCACCAGGATTTGGACTCGGGAGCGATCGCTTCAAACGCCAAAGCGTTATCCACTACACCACCGAGCCACTGCTAGCCAATATCCATCTTTACTATAACTAGAACACAGGTATATCGAGGCATCCGCACAGGATCCCATATGCCAATAGAGACTGATCAATTCGGTCCAATCAACGACGGTATAATACAACCAATAACACTAAAGACAAATATTGTATAAATTTATCACGGAATTAAGGTGTTTTCGATTGTCCATTGATACCCTCAAGATGTAACTCAATTTCCGTACGGAAAAAGATACTACGCACATGGACTTTGACATAAAGAATGCTCTAACTGATGACATGATGGATAGAGGGATATCAAGCCCCCTGAAGCGAACGATTTCAACAGGAACTCGAAGAGTTTTGTTCTGTAATCACCCTTCACTTCGCAGTAACCTGAAAGACAACGTATCGTATCTAGGCGCCTTCATATGTGTATATCAGTTTGCCCATCATCATGGAGCTACGTATGTTGATAGTCCGAAGTGAATCCTGTTGAAAAAGGTCCAAGAACACTATCCTGCTTGCTTACAAAGAGGTATAAACGATAACTGAACACCTTATCAACGCTGGTCATTTAATCTCAACAACCAACTTCTTCTTCAAAGTTATTCGCAGTGATCAGAAACTCTCCAAAATCACTGCGTGTCCATTTTTGTATTGTTGAAGCTTTAGTTATCCAAAACAGAAAAGTCGGAGTTTTGTACGCAGAAGAGACTTTAATTACTGTATTAATTAATTAATTCATTAATCATATTCATCTTTATGATGATAAAATACCAAATGTTTCAGCAGGACTTCCAAATTGTATGCCACTGACTGACACCAGTGATTAGTACTGCTTACTAGCTAACCGAACCGAGGTTATATCCAAACACTGAACGAGTGTTTTCCTCGTGTATGAGATCAAGTGCATCAGCAGTGTATCTAGGTTGATCCAACTGAGAAAACAACACCATTAATCATTACATAAAGTGATCTCTGGTCAGTCGTACTAATTAGTAAACAACGTGTTCTTCCGCTTGCTTTCATGACGTAATTTTTGATGACAAACAGATTACAAGTTGTAGTCTCGAAATGTTGGTCACCAGGTGGAACTACAGTAGAATGAAAATCTTTCAAAGACTTCCTTAAATCCATTTTCCTACCTCTGAACTAGTGGCTCAATGGTGACTTGCTTGTCACAGAAACTGAAGGTTTTGAAATCAATAAATAAATCCCCATAAACCTCCGAATTGAATTCTCTCAGAGTTATGCAATCTCTGCGATAGGCAACATTCAGTTGTTAAATAATTTACAAGAGAATCATATTTTCATCGAGTCGAATGGATTCCCTTCTGTAGGGATTAAATGAAGTGCTTGTTAACAGTTCGGGAGTTAGTAAGGATCATTCGGGGTGGAAATCTTAATTTCACCCTGCAAAAACTTTTTATTCATAGTATAGATTTTTATGATTGCAGAAAGACTACTCAAGTATTCTTCTAAGTTACTCGGACAGCGTTTCAAATAACCATAGTGCTGAACCAAAATAAAACCATTTGTGAATTAAACTTACGTATGAATAGCAAAATGTGACAGTGAATTTTCCACCTTTCAAGATTAATTACAACAGACGGTACATCTTAGAACCACTAGGTGAACTGTTCTGATAATCTACTTGGTTGTGGCTAGCAGAGGAATCCAGGACGCGCAGTTCGTCCTATTTAGGACTCCTCGGCTGAATGTGCCTGCACCCCAGTGAGTGGTTTTTCCCACTGAGACTCGAACCTCGTACCCATCGCTTCAAACACCAAAGCGTTATTCAATGGGCCAATGAGGCACGATAGTAACTTTTCGTACAACAGGTACTAGTTATTACTATTTGCTGACGTACTTGTAGTTCTCCGTTGTTTTACTGGATCGAGTTGTTCGACTTTTAGAGGCCTAGTGGATAGAGCTTCAGTGTTTGAAGCGAAGGGTACGAGGTTTGAGTCTCAGTGGGGAGAACATTACTCCACACTGGGGTGCAGGTACATTCAGCTGACGAACCCCAAATAGGACAAAACGCGCGTCCACAACCAAGTAAATCGCCATAATTATTATTCAGGCAATTATGAGGCATTTGCATAGGAGCCTACAGCAGACCAATAGAGGTAGAACAATTTCATCCAGTAAAACAACAAAGAATTAGAAACATATCAACAAATAGTAATGATAAACTGTTCTTCTATTTTTCCCAGCAAAAGATAAGTAAAGCAGTAAAGTATTATTATCATTATTACATTCTGAACTTACAGGTCGAATATCAATGTCACATAAACTAATACTACTAGCTACAATGTGACTCATTGACAACATTGAACTGCCGCCAGCTTCCTACGGATTATTTAGACAACGAAAAGAAATTATGAGTACAATTACAATCAATATACAGAAGCACATAATACATAAACGAAATCAATGTAGAACCTTACACACAAGTACTTTTCATACTCCACAGTAGCATACAAAAAACGGGTGAATAGGAAAAGTGATATCAAGGAAGACAAGGTTGTGTAAGAGAATAAATAATTTGAAGACGAAGGCCAGCACGATGTCAAGAAGTGAATACATCTGCGCCAGTATGACCCATTTTCAGCCATATCACCAAGAGATGGTTTCAGCGACCCCCGCCAGGCAGTCTACACTTTCCTACAGAACGATCACTTTTGTAATGTGGTCGTGTCTCACTAAACTACAAGAGTCAACTCAGCATCACAATGCACCTTGACTAGTTTTGTATGCTTAGAGGTAGGTAGGTAGGTAGGTAATCAACAGAAAACCGATCGCCGTCGACCATCTGACACTTTTTATCTCTATACTATGCTTGCTAGTGTTACTGTTTATTCACTACTTTTACAGGGTACATTCCAACAAATGTGGATATCCAGTCAAGAGTATAATGAATTAGGCAAAGGATGTGTGGATAAAAAATGTGCGTAAGAAAAGTGGAGTATACTATTCTCCGTTACACTCTGGACTATACTTTTGTTTGTCTTTTGTTTTTCAATCCTACTCTTGTCTACATTTGAATTCTATTGATGTGTATAATAATAATAATAATAATAATAATAATAATAATAATAATAATAATAATAACTATGTCATTTGCATTTCTGTGGTGTTTGAGCACAAATATATACATAGGCATTTATTCTGCATTCCAGTGTGTTATGGGGGATGTTTTCCTCGTTCCGAAGTGTAATACTATATGAAATGTGCTTACTACACATTAAGGTATACAAGAACACATGTTCTACTATGTGACTGTGAAGCACCACACAGACAAAATCAACGTAGAACCTTGCACACAAGTGGATCGATTCACCTTGTCACACTTCACAGTAGTACACAAATAACAGGTGGATAGAAAAAGGAGTGACATCAAAGTAGACAAATCTAGGTGAGAGAACAAACAATTTGAAGATAAAGGTTAGTGCGACGTCGAGAGGTGAATACATCTGCGCCAGTGTGATCCATTTTCAGCCATATCACCATGAGATAGTCTCAGGGACCCCAGCCAGGAAGTCTACACTTCCCTACCGAAATCAGATCAACAGTCATGGACTGGTACCACCTCTTGGCTTGGACACTCTTGAAAGACACAAGAAGACAGAGACGAAGGAAGGAATGTTTATCACCAATATGTGGTACAGTAGTGGTTGAATATGGTACACCTTGCGTTAAGACAGTTATTTGCAAAATGTGCTTCATTTCCTTTCTTCTTGTCTGTTGATTCGCTCTTAAAACGCCCACGTTTTGTCTTGTGTTTATCTGGGCAAAATCCTTTCCCATTGCTGGTAATTCCTTATGAGTTTTGCTGCCCTCTCAACACATACTACTTATAATATCCACTCATCAGCAACGCCCAATACACCCTGAACCCTCTTCTACACCAGTATTGCACCTCAAGGTAGGCGATGAGTCCAAGTCACCTCAGTCGATGAAGAAATAAATAAAATCATGTAAATCCATGACAAAAATAGAAGAGTATAAAGGCAACTCACTAGTAGGATTGATGGGTCAAACAACGCTTCAGGGATTTGAAAGCGTTCATGACCCAATTCAAAATTGAATCCATTCGGGAATTCATAACCGACCATTGGAAAAGTATCCGCTTGACTGAAAGTTAAAAAAATAAGAAAATATGTGAATATTATATTATTGTGTAAAAACAAATTATTTTATCGTTTGTGATTAAAAAGTGGTTTGTTGTTTACACTACTAATGATGAATGGTTGAATTCAACATTGATTTGACTTTACACAACTCCTGCAGAGTATGAAAACAGAAAGAAATATGTAAGACAACAGAGATAGAAAGATCTAAGTAGCAAGTGACACTGAATTGTATATCACTTCAAGTTGTCACGATTCACATAAGCATATAAGGAAGAAGTGAACAGAAAAACTGGTACACAAGTACACAAATGTGTGTAAGAGGTGAGAACGAATGAGCGAAAAGCACTTAGCTACCTTTAGAGGTTACAGATATATTATCACAGACTTTATGCACTGGTGCCACCACATCTTGTTCTGACCACCCTGAGCTTTTTCTCAACCCGATCAATCCTACTTCGGCTAACAGGGGACCTCAGGGTAGGCAGTGGCTCGATATGAAGAACATGCATTTACACCACCGCAGTGGAAATTCACAACTTTATCGACTGACTTATCGTCCTTGTCTGCTACCTGATACCGACATAGCTTACACTGTACACCATACACAAAAAGTGTATATAAAAATTGCATCAGCTATCTTCACACACCTGATCTTACATTGATTGGCCACTTAAGGGTAACCAACTTCATGTTGTCTACTCCGAAGTGCTGATCGAATTCTATCGATCATTCTGCGATGTGGCAGGTCAGCACTGCGATTCACTTTGATAGATGTTACTTGGATGGAGGCATTCGGCAGGAAGCCATGGACTTAGGTTTTGTGCCTGTTAGCGATGCTGATTGATAGAATTTGATCAGAATTTGGGACTAGACAACATGGAGTTGGTTACCCTCCAGTGACAAATCAGTGTATCTAATCCAGTCCTACAGGAGGTCAGTAGCGGCCCGAATAGCTCAGTGGTAACTTCGCTGACTGCAACACTGAGTCATCATCATCATCATTATCAACATAGGACCAGGCATTACTGCGTAACGGTCCGAGTTGCCACACCTCATATCAGCACATCAAGTAAAAAGGTAGTGAGGTGAAGGATGAAGATAAGTGAATGCAGTCAAAAGAAATATAAAGTATGAGAAGAAAGGAAAGAGGAGTGACAAAATAGTGAGATTCGGTATAGCGTTGTTAAGATGAGGATAATGTGTGTATACATCTGCGCCACTGACTTCGGTTCTGAGCCATATCACCTAGGGTCTCCAACCACTGGTTCCTCTTGTCCCGTGGACCCCAACCACCTAGTCTGCATCGTCCTACATGGCTTAAACCAACAGTCAGAGACTTCATACATTGGTGCCATGTTTTAGTCTGGCCACCTCGGGCCTTTTTCCAGCCTGAACCCACCTCAGCCAACATTGTGTGACGAGGCAATCGGTGACTAGGCATACGTAGTACGTGTCCCAACCATCTCAGTCGATGAAGGTTCACAACCTCGTCGACTGACTTACCTCTTCTCCCTAAAACTCTACACCTAACTTCTGCATTACTCACATGGTGACACCACGGAATACGTCCTATACTACGAAGGCAACGGTGGTCAAATACCTGTAACCTTCTCATGTCTTCCACTTTCAATGGCCATGTTTCACAGCCATACAGTAGAACAGAGCGGACTGCTGTGCAGTACACGCGACCCTTAATAGACAAACGAATATCACGGCGGCGCCATAGGTGGCGCAAATTGGCAAAAGCCAATCGAGCCTTTTGTATCCGTGCAGAAATCTCATCGGCAACTAACCCACCGGAGTTGATCCTACTTCCCAGGTAAGTGAAGTGGTCAACACACTCAACCACTTCACTCTCTATTGTTAACCGCGGTACCGCTGAAGACCAGTCCTGGAGCAAAAATTTGCATTTGGGTGGTGAAAATCGCATCCCAAACATTCTCAAATTCCCACTCAAAGTGTTCAGAAGACTCTGCATCTTGTCAGCGTCTTCACCTAACAGGACTATGTCATCTGCATATTCTAGATCTAAGGAAAATTCACCTGTGATCCGGTCAACGTCTTTGTAATTAGGTGACGAGAGGGAAACCTCCATAAGAATATCTATGATAAAATTAAATAAGAATGGGGATAGTGGGCATCCTTGACGGACACCACTTGATGAGTATAGCTCCCTGGACAACTCACCATAGGCTCTAACATGCCCACAAGTGTTCGAGTAGAGAGCTTTCAATAAGGTGATGTACTTACTAGGCACGCCTTTCAGTGACAGACACTGCCATAAGACTTCTCGATCAACGGAGTCAAATGCCGCCTTCAGGTCGAGAAATACAGCTATTGTCGGGCGTCTGTAAGCATGCCTATGTTCCAGGACCTGGCGCAGTGTGAATATTTGGTCGATACATCCACGGCCAGGTCTAAAGCCTGCCTGGTTTTCTCGGGCTTGCTGTTCCCGAGCTCCACTCAGGCGTCGGAGAATTATAGAACTTAGGATCTTAGACACTATGTTTGTCAGGCTGATTCCTCTGTGGTTATCACAAGAGGACTTCTCGCCTTTCTTGAAGACTGGGATGATCAGTGACTTAGACCAGTCGGAGGGGATCGTATTTGATTCCCATATACTGGCTAACACTTCCGTTAGCCTGACTAAGAGAACTCTACCACCATTCTTGTATACCTCAGCAGGTAGTCCGTCTGGTCCTGCTGCCCTTCCCCGTTTCAGGCTACCTACCGCTTTCTCGACTTCTTCTAGTGTTGGGGGACCTGTCTCTATGTCCCATTCAGGGTCCGACTGGATAGCGGGCAGCGCAATGGTGGCTGGAGGCCAGTTAAACTGTTCCTCAAAGTGTTCTGCCCATCGTCCCAGTCGCCTTCCCTGCGAGTGAATCGCCGATCCGTCCTTCTCCGCTATAACCTCACTAACTGTTGTTGACCATTTCCCCCCAGTCTCCTTAATAAGTCTAAATAACTGTCTACTGTTACCGATCGCCGCTGCCTTTTCCATCTCTTTAGCCTTTGCTGCCCACCACTGACGGGGGTTGGAACCTCAAGAGGGAGGGGGTCAGCTCCGTTGAGGTTGCAAGTACGTCTTGCTGACGAGTTCCAACAGGGACAAAACCTAGGTCCAGGGCTTCCTGCCAACTGCTTCCATCTAACTAAGATAGGCCTCATTTTATTTGTAATAATCAGCAACTACCTTCGAATCAACCAAAACTCCATGGCTTATTATGAACAAGATCAGATGACAGTGATGAGCCACTAACAACACTGAGAAGATGAGTAACCGATTCACTATGTAGGTCAATCAGCTGCACTTTACTCTTCTCGTTGCAAAACCACCCAGGACTGTGGAGCATATTTGTAGCTCAGAGTGAGTTGTTCTGAGGTAGAGTTTTAGATGAGGAATGGTTCAACGTCATGCTAGACATCGTCATCAGAGCTTCGCTCCCTTTTTACGCCTTGACGGTGTCTAGCACAACATTGAAACGTGCAGAACTTAAAACTATAACTCAGAGAACAACGAATGGGAGAGGGAGCCAAATGGGGAACGACGGGTTTGGCGTCTGAGCTGAGAGTGACATGGAGAAGATCGTGTGAGGAAGAAATGAAAGCTTGTTGGCAGTCGTGGAGTCAGGTTGAAAAGACTTCGGAGAAGAGAGTGAAATGGAGACGTGCTACTGAAGCCCTATGTCCCACTAGGAACCTAAGCGACAAATAATAATAATAATAATACCTCTGCCATGCACAGGGAAACATAATCATCATCAAGACCAATATAGGACCAGGTCTTACTGCGTAACGGTCCAAGCTGCCACACACCTATCAACACACTAAGTAACAAGGTGATAAAATAAAGATGAAGGAAAGAAAAATCGGTAAAAGGAAGTAGAAGTAGAAAGTGGTAAAACAGAGGAAGGGAGAATGACAAGATGAGACTAAATATGGTGGTTATGATGAAGATAATGTGTGTATGCATCTGCACCACTGACATCGGTTCTGGGCCGTATCACCTAGAGTCTCCAACCGCTGGTTCCTTGTATCCCGCGGACCCCAACTACCCGGTCTGCGTCGCCCTACGTGACTCAAACCAGGAGAGAGTCAAGAACTTCATGCATTGATGCTATGTTTTAGTCTGGTCACCCTAAGCCCTTTACCAACTTGAACCTACTTCGACCAACATTGTGCTACGAGGCAGATGGTGGTAACACATGTCCCAGCCATCTCAGTCGATGAAGGTTCACAATCGCATCAACTAACTTACCCCTCTCCTCCGTAAAACTCTACGTCTGACACCACGAAACACGGCTTATGCTACGAAGGCAACAGTGGTCAAACACCTCAAGCCTTTTCAAGTCTTCTACCTTTAATGGCCATATTTGACAGCTATTCGGTAAAGCAGACCCGACTGCAGCACAGTACACTCAATCCTTAATAAACAATCGGATATCGCGGCGGCGTAATTTGGTAAAAGCCAACCGAGCCTTTTGTATCTACGCAGAGATTTCGTCGGCCACTGACCAATGCACCAGGGTTGATCTGACTTCCCAGGTAAGTTAAGTTTTCAACACGATCAACCACTTCACTCTCTAATGCAACAATTCTCATTTGGGTGGTGAGAAACTCATCCCAAATTTTCTCAAATTGTTATTCAATGTGTCTAGAAGACTTTGCATTTTGTCAGCGCCTTCACCCAACAGAACTATGTCATCTGCGTATTCTAGATTATCGAAAATTCTCCTGTGTTCAGGTCAATCCCTGTGTGGTCAGATGACAAGAGAGAGAGACCTCCATAAGAACATCTATGATTAAATTGAATAGGAATGGAGAAAGTGACCATTCTTGACAGACACCATTGGACGTACATATATCTCACTATAGGCTCTAACACACCCACAGGTATTCGAGCAAAGAGCCTTCAATAGTGTGATGCACTTACTCGGTACCCCTTTCAATGAGACACACCCGTAAGACTTCTCGATCGATGGAGTGGGGAAACGTAATAGACGATTTCGAAGATAAATTCAATTTTCTGAGGCGATTTCACGCACACATGTCTTACTCCTTTAGACTCTGATTAACTACACAACTCATTCTTTGGTATTACTCAGCTTTTACCATATTTTACACGTTTCGATCTATATTGGTTGTTTAAATGTATCCAGTATCGCTCTGTTCTCGTTGTTCTTAACCCCACCAGAATCAATACTGAAGTGATTATTATGACTATTATCGAGATAGTTACTTTTTTTACGTACTTCATTACATAGACAGAATGGTTGGTTCATTGTTTTATATATCCATGAAGAGTGTGAAGGCTGATGAGAGTTAATGGATTCGAAATAATATTACTCTCTTCTGTCTATTTCTACCTAGTATTGCTTATTTTGTATAGGAATTTAATTTTCTGACCTCCAAAGGAAAAGACCTAGTTTCGTCTGGAAAGTTCTCATTCAAAGAACGTTCACCATTCTATATGTGTGGCGCAAATAGACACGTCTGTGTGTTTAATTGACCTTCTCACAAATAGTTTAGCACATCCAACATGGATGATGATAATCCAATCGGTTATTTCTGTTTCGACTATGACTGACGTATGTTCCTATGAATATGCGCACATTTGCTGTTCACATCACATTCCCTTCAATAGGTTCAATTAGATTCCTTCACAGCATAGTGAATATAAATTCTACTTCCTCAATCTTAGCTCTTCTCTTACATCAGCCAGTTAGTAGAGGTCCTGGTCAATCGAAATTAGGAAAACATCACAGACGTTAATTCAGTCAGATGGTTTCAGATTGGTAAATCTTTTCTCTACAATTACCTAACAAATAAAAAAATTCATGAAAAAACAACATGACACAATGTTCATCAATTTCTTCTAAAGAACTAACTAGCATTTAAGGGAGAAAAATCTTCTGAGAACTTACCTTTGATCATATCGATCTTCAGAGACTTGTAGAACAGATGCCACGAAATCTTGGATTAGACACTGAAATAATTTTTTCAAACAGATATAAGTAATTTAATTCAGTGGAATTTTTCTTAAGTTGTATAATGTATGTAGGATTCTACAATTTAGATGATATTTTGTTAACTACCCTACGAAATGCACCAAACAAGTGTGGGGTTGTGGTTTATCGGTTTACGGAGTTAACTTTCAACCAATGCGTCATGGATGATTCGAACATCGCTCGACCTAATGAGGCGGTTTGAACAGCCAGACAGGTGGTATCATTAACCCTCGCATGACCCAACTGCACCAATGTACACAAGGTTGCCCAGTGGATTTAGATATCTTTTTCAACACCAAAAAGGTGAGAATTAGTAACAATATCGAGATAATCCCACATTAGTGAATGGAACAGTGTTTGAACCCATGAAAGTTGAACTAGTCAACTACTGACTGACATATTCTCAATAAGAGACATATACAAAGCGACAAAGCAACTAAATCCACCCCTAAATTATGCCGTTTTGAAGTTCACAACCTGGAATCAATGAATTAAAGTAATGGGTACATGATGTTGTATTCATCTTGGTGGCTAGCAGTGGGAACCAGCCAGTGAGTTTCGTCCCATTTGAGAGCCGTCAGTTGGGTGTGCTTTTGCCTCAGACAGTGATGTCCCCCACTGACACTCGGACCTTGTACCCATCTTTTTAAACACCAAATCGTTATCCAACTGGGCTACGAGAGTGAACTCTTGTACAACGGGTATTATTTATTGCTTATTAATACTTGTGATTTCCCGTTTCTATACAGGGGCGAATTATTCGATCTCTGTTGGCAGATGGGCTCCTACGAGGATGCCTCAATACTGTCGAATATTCATGATGTTGTACATGAATTGTATGTAACTGTCATTAATTTTTAAGCAAAATTATTAACACAGAAAAGAAACCAGAAGCATGATACCCATACTATAGCACGAAATTGAAATACATAAGAAAAATCACTCACCAACCCTACAAACCTCAACTAACCAAGATAATCACGATGTCACGTTATTACGACAACTACTCAGTTATCCTTTTGAAGTAGGAAGATGAGCAATTTGACTCAAGTGAGTAAAGACACTGTCTGATTCTCATTCTATAGAATTATCTTACAGAATCTCATGCAACAACCTAGTATTTGTGTTTACGTGCAAGATGATAAGCCACACTTATTGTGTGACAGCTTATGATACTAACCGGCTGGGTTATGTAGATAAAAGTGGAGAGGCTTTTAAGCTTATGACTTTCACTGCCTGAAAGTCAAGTTTTCCAGCCAATCAGTGGGATGTCTCCTCTAGTACTATTAGGATTATGATGATAGGAAGAGTAGATGCCATTAAACAATAGAATCACACAATTTTCACAGTATATTATATCTAGCACAGTAAACTTAAACTTGTTCTCTAGTTCTACAATAATTATATTAGGTGTATCTCAACCCGACATATGTTTATACACCAGGCTATAAGTACTACTCATGGTGTTAGGGGGTTATTGTACTGTTCGGTCGCCTAGATCAAAGTACGTCATCACCATCAATATCAAAACAGAACCAGGCATTATTGCGTAGCCTTCCAAGTCCCCATACCCCATATCAACATATCAAGTAACAAAGCAATAAGATGAAAGATGAAGAAATAAAGAAGAGTCTATCAAAGGCAACAAGAAGTGACCAAAAAGAGAGAGGAGGAATAGAAGAATACTGAATTTAGTAAAACAATGAAGATGAAGACGTGCGGACACAACTAGACCACTGAGATCGATTCTGATCCATATCACCTAGTCTATAACCACTGAGTCAAAGCAGATGGAGTGGGTTCATTCCAAACATATATATGTGATTTTATTCCGTTTATTGGTTGAAGTCATCTCACATATATAAGTCCTTATACTGAATTTGAGGTTTCGTGGGAGGAAGAGTCAGAAGGCAAAATAGCTTTGCTTGACATTCTGTCAAGATGAACCAATGGGTCGATAAGGATGTTGTTTAGCAGCCTGTCCCATGTAATCTTATCTTCTAATCCCCTTCTTTCCCATAATCTGAAACAATTTTATCACATTCTCTCAACCTATTTTGTTCTCTAACATGGGTAACATTCTCTGTCAAGCTATTATTATTTAGATCATCCATTTGTGTTTATTGCACCCTACTCATCTTCCTACAGTTCAACTACCACCCTATATTCATCATGGACCGACACCAGTTGGAGGAACATTGGGAACCTGGGAGCACTGGACACCTATCTTTTCCTAGTATGGGACTCCTCAGCAGTGCGTACCCATGAACCCGCCTCGTCAAAGATCAAACTCAGGACCTTCAGGTTCTGTGGCCAGCATGTTACCACTGAGTCACTGGGTCGGAATCCAATGGTCCGTATTCCTAACTTCTGTCATTTTATGACAGGTTTCCAATGTTCTTCCAACTGATGTCAGTCCATGATGAATACTAACTTGAAAAATCACTAAATCTCCACACACACACACACACACACACACACACACACAAATTCAATTGATTTAGTGCACATTGGTGACTAGCTTCGAGAAGTGATTCTTAAAGTTCTAATGATAAGTCGTGACCAGTAGGGTCAACCAAATCGAATATGAGGACAGTTACTCAACGACGACATTAGATGTAGGCCAGGCTATATCGTGAAATGACAGAAGTAGGAAATGTAGACCACTGAATTCCGCCGACCCAGTGGGTCAATGGTAACGCGCTGGCCACGGAACCTGAAGGTCCTGGGTTTGCCTTGCTGAGTCCCACACTAGTGAGACGAAACAGTTGTCCAGTGCTCCCAGCTTTCCAATGTTCCTTTAACTGATACCGGTCAATGATGAATACCAACTTGAAAATCCTACGAACCCCCAAATTCAGATATCCCCTTATAGTATTACGTGAGGCGTATGGTAGTTTGGAGAATCAATTATTTTGAATTGAATTCCAGTAATAGTTGATCCCGACATCAACGTTCACACAGAACGTTTCTGAAAAGAATTCAGCCAGCTGTATAGTACTATTTAAAAACTACTATTGGCGCAAAATTACACCACATGAACATATAGGTATACGACGTGAATACGAAGAAATTATGGTAAACATTCTTGGTCTGTTCAAATGGCTTCTCATTGAAATGACTAAACATTGTTTGAGCCCTGCTATACCTGAAAAGCCTGTTGTAAACAATATCTACTCCTTAATATGAATTTCATAAATATTATGGACTGAGTGACTGACAAAATCAACGTAGAACCTCGCACACAAGTGTATCACATCAAGCTGCCACACATTCCACAGTAACATACAAAGAACAGGTGGATAGAAAAAGTGATACCAAAGTAGATAAAGTAGTGTGAGAGAACAAAAAATCTGAAGATCTAGGTAAGTTTGAATATTCAAGCTTTAGATGTCAAGGAGTGGATATATCTGTGTTATTGTGACTGGTTTTCAGCCATACCACTAAAAGTCCTCAACTACTGGTTGCTACAGTCTCGGCGACCCCAGTCAGACAATTTACACCTCCCCGCACGACTAAGATCAACAGACACAGACTTCATGCAATAGTGCCATGTCTTAGACTGGCTACCATGAATCCCCTTCCAGACTAATCTAACTTCCCCTAGAATTGGACGTCGAGGAAGGAGGTGGCTCGGTATGCGCAGTACATGTCGGATATCTCACCTGCGCCACAGATAACACAAGTTGGCAAATCTCAAACTGGTCCTCTGTGACAGGTGGCAGCGAAACGAATGTCAAAATACAGTCACTAACACTGAGTCACTAGGTAACCACATAACTGCAAACTGTAGATTGGTAGCTTTTTCCTGAATTATACTTCCTTTAATACAATGAACCGATAAACCTGGGTTATTAAACACTCGGATTTTTGAAGCAGATGCAAGACTGACACAACAGATTATGTGTTTGGGTAATTCCCTTGACAAGTAGCATAGGCTTCATCTACTTGTCAATCACACAAGTCAAATCAGAATCTACTCAGCAACCTTATGTGCATTTGTGGAGTAGACAATGAGCCTTACACTTTGTGTGAGGGTCAATGATACTACTACCTAACTGTCTAAACCTCGGTAGGCGGGGTGGGGTTCAAACTCATGACCCATTGGTTGAATTTCGTCTCCCTAAACCAATGAGCCACAGCTTCACTAAGTCACAAGTACCACCATGAAATTAAACAGCAGTTTACTATTGATCTTATGGTAAACTGAAGAAACATGTTAATTCATCTAAGTGAATAGTTCAAAACTGCTTACTTTCAACATATAGTTTTCATATGATGAAGAGACAGGTGGGAGATTTGGTCGTTCCTTCCATTTTGCCGGTTCACGCTCATTAACAGGTTCCTAAAATGGGGATAAATGAAAGTATATGTGTATAATCTACTTCAACTCTTACCGCACAATAAAAACAGTAAGTGCGACAGTGGCAGTTCAAATCGGTAATCATGTAAAACTGTAAACTCTATTCCGAACCACATTATTATTGGAGGCTTAAGACAAGTAAACTAAAGTAGCTCATGTGAAAGTCGAATACGCATACGTATGCAGTTGCACAAGAAGTGGCTATCGTAACTCGGTGGTCTAGTGGATGACGCTCTGGCATTTGAAGCAGTTAGCCCCGAGTTCGAGTAACAGTGGGAATAACACTCACTGGGAGACAAGTACATCCAGCTGACGAGTCAGTCCCAAATACGAAGAGATGAGCGTCCTGGATTCCATTGCTAGCGGCTATCCATTATTAAGGTATGCATATGGTCCGTTTTCAGTAGGCAGCTGTAGCTGCTGACATAATGAATATTCTAGACATTAGTTTGGGCAACTTCCATTTCGCATATAACATGTTACCGGTCGAGATACAACAAAGTGGGACCCAGAACGGGTCAGATGAAAGAAAAAGATGCAATCGACTAAATTTACGAAATTAGCTTTAGAAAAGTGCGAGGCAAGTATAGTCGTCACTGAGCGTGTCTCTTTATTTAGATGTCAGGCATAATTACCAGGTAAGAGTTCCTAGATCTAGCCATCCATATGACGTGAAATCATACTAATTAGCATTCCGATTCAGACCTCTACGAACTTTTTACAGTCTTCTCATATTTCTCAGCTACTGAATACGGCAAAAAGTTCATAAAAACGTACCAAATACGGCTCAGCCACCTCAGTCGATAAAGATAGGTAACTTCAACTAGAAACCCGCTCCCCCCCCCTTCCCACCTACTCCTATGTCTCATCAAAACTGGCGATCCTTACAGGCGTACTTAAGTGGTCTTATGGTGGTAGAGAGCTTCTAGTTCTCAAACCATTAAAAGGTAGGACCACTGTACTAAAACAATACACAGTCCTAAGTGACAAAAGGACAAATAAACGTAGAACCTGGCACAGAAATGAATCACTTTAAATTATCACACTTTACATCACCATGCAAGGGAGATGGAAAGAGCAATATTATAGCAAAAAAATGTGCATGAGACGATGAAATAAATAGATGACAAGAAGTGTATATACTTGCGTTACTGTGACCAATGACCTAATGCAATGGTGATGAGTGGTAAAAGGCTGCAAGACGAGGAAAATGGAGAAAACAGGTAACAGTCGAATGCACTTACAGAAGATACCTCATTGTTATTAGAACAGTTTAGTCAGACTACTTCAGAGAAAAATAAATGTTATCCTTCTAAATCAGATGGTCAAGGAAAGACCTCAGGCGTTCGGCCACCGTTGCCTTCGTAAAATACGCCAGTCGTAACACTACTACATTAGTTACTTGGAAGTCAAGTGTACAGTTTAAGCAAAAGAGATAAGTCATTTGATGAAGTTATGAGCTTAGAACGTGGAAAGCAGGATAAATAAATAAAGATATCAGAGATATGTCGCAACACTCTTCGACGCTCATAAATTTATTAGCAACATTCCATTTACAAGAACTGACCATTCACAGTTAATATTATGAGGAAAATATCGACATGTCTCGTAACTGATAAGATACTATTGTTTCGTACATATATGACTCCTAAGATACCACCACACATAGCAAAAACATACCTTGGACGCTACGCGATAATACGGGACAATTTCCATTTTTAGTTCATCCAGAAGTAACCTCTGTGCTTGCTGGACGATAAAATCACCAGCCAATGGGGAACGGATAAGCTCTTGTGTTAAAACCAAACCGTCGTACACAGGAACAGCAGATGTGTGTATGGCTCCACAGTCTAGAACCAAACCTGTGTGCCGACCATTTGCAAAACAGGTGAGAGCAGCATTTTTGGCTATGTAAAATGCTGGAACCTGAGTAGTAAGTTATTTGTAACAGGAATAAACACACTTTGAACTTTTCAAACAATATTTCGGCAGTTTTTTCTCGTTTGGACTTTGTATTCCATGAGGGTTCGGAAAAGAGTATAGGGTGATGGCTCGCTTCTTCAGGTGTTAAATAACTTAGCATGTAGCTCATCACATCCTCAAAAGCATCCCAATCATCAACTGCACACGAATAATTATAATACTATAAATTACTTAGCCCATCTTTCAGAAATGATTGAAGGTCTGTTCCCTTGCGAGGAACCAGAATATTGTGACCTGCAACCCGCTTAGCTGGTAGACCTTCTTCATTCCCAATAATACCAAGAGTAGATGGTATATCAACCTAGACTACTTATTATTCACCTCGTATCTTAATACCTTAGGGTTGTCTTCTCCGGCGAAACCACCCCTTAGAGAAAACGACCCAAAATCGAAAACAAGAGCCCCAACCTCATCTACAAAGTCAGTAAGGATACAAATGAACACAAAACAAACCGCTCATAGCTCCACTACTGAAAAGCGTATTCCGTAAGGCCGCTCCCGCCAATAGACTTAGCTAATGTACAATTCCCAATATCTGCTTAACAAGCTTATGTAAACCAGTTGATCTCTTCATGCTCACTTTTGGGTCTTCCGGAATGGCTCTGTGTCTTTGGTGGATTCCAATGCAACAGATCCAGCCATTTGTCTGCTATAGCTCTGATGTTGGTTAGTTTATGGGGTGACTGTGGTGCTGTTTGGTTCTTCAACTGTCGATTTGTCAGACAGTTGTCCGGACTGGTTCTCAAACAGAGTTGGAGATAATTAGGACGTGGCTTGGAAAAAAGATACGTGTGAGCAAAAAGCGAAGAAAAGTTAAATGATGGAGTAATCGACGTACACCAAAGTCGTCGGGGTGCAAAGATAAGCAGAACTTAGATAGGTAAAGTTGATTCATAGTGAGTAAGAGAGGTGAAAAAAACTTGGGTGCTCAGAGTTTGAGAGGTAACAATGTTGGAATGGTCTGACAATAACTGATTTCTTCTATCTAGTTCGTATTCCGGGTAGATGAGCGTAAACCGTGGTTCACTGTGTAACTGTCTAGCCTTTTCTTTGAACTGTCGGTAGATGGGAGGAGGAGACTGCATGTGCTGGTAGTGTATTCCAGTGCCTATGGACCCAAATACAGAATAAGTGTAAACGCACACGAGTTTCTGACCTTTGGTAGGCAATTCTTCCTGGGTTTCCACGGGGATCACCATTGCGGGCACTCGGTAGTATTCCTTTGTTCAGCGGATATTTTGTAGGCCATTATCAAATCACCTTGTAACCTTTGGTATCTAGGAGAGCATAAGCTTAGGTCTTTGCACCTGTCATCATGTGGTTTTCGGTGCATCTCTGCAACACCCCTCGCGGCTCACCTCCAAACTTTCGCTAGGGGGTTCGTGTTTCTTTTCAGGCGTGGTGGAGCGAAGACGTTACGGACCCCGTGGGTCTTGTAGAGTTTCAAAAAGAGCTCTGAGATAAGGGGACTCCGTTATCTACTCACAAAGTGTAGTGCACCGCACTCTTTTCAGGCATCTCCCGAGTAGTTGGTATCGGTGTATGGTTTCTCCGTCACCATCAAACCCAGTTCTTTCTCTGCTAAGGTATGAGAAAGATGTAAACTGCAGAGGGAGTGGGACGCTTTCTGTGGATCAGGAGCTTGGAAAAACATGGACCGCCATTTATCCAGGTTAAGTGCCAGTTTTCGCCCACTCCTCCAGCCTTTCAGATCATTGTGTAGTGTATGCGATTCCTCTTCGCACACTTCTCTCCATAATTCGACGTCGTCGGCGTAAAGAAGAATCGGAGAGCTGATGCGCAGCAGGAAGTTTTTCATGAACAGTAGGAACATTCAAGGACCTAAAATTGCTCCTTGGGATATATCGGACGGTGATGTTTTTCAAATTGAATAGACCCTGTTGAATTTCGCGCAGAACTCCCTATCATCTAAGTAGTTCTGCAGTGGTTATAGCACCTGGCCACGAATACCCAACCCAGCTATCTTGTGTGCTAGGATGGTTTACGAGACTGGGTTAAAGGTTTTGACGAAATCCAGAAAGAGCGCGTCAAACACTCTTCAATCGGTCTTGCGTTTTCTAAATTAGGACATTGTTCTTTGTTGTTTCGATTGCCATAAGAATACAATCTTGCTTTGATGTCTGAAGACCAGCTGTGGATTGGTTTTCGAATGTCCTACAGATATGTACCGGCAGTTAATTGCATGAAATCAACAGCTCAGGATTCGGGGACATTCAACACTGATGCTGACTTTCATCATTTTAGTGAACTCCAAGTTGTGGGCAGGCGGTCAGGCACCTAGGCGATTTGGTACGTTGTTGTATAACGCTACGCTTCTCTGGCGTGGTTCTCTAGGGCGCTAGTTGGAACGCATCGGTATGTTGTCACGCGCCGTCAACTATACCATCCCACCTACCAACTCAGTTGCGTTCTTTCTTGGTCTCACACTAGTGGGTATATAGCAGGTCCAAATAACTGGCGATTGGCCTCTGTGTCTAGACTGGCAAGCTCGTTCATTTTTGCACTTGCTCGTTTCTGTTTTCACGGCGTCAATTCTTTTTTAATTCTATCATCGACTCCCCCTACCCAGGTGTGACTAGGTTCCAAAACTTATCCGCATTCAACCAACAAGTCGCCTAGTCCAGCTGGTGCCATTCTAGCCAGACGGTGCAGAAACGTAGATTCTGTCCTCCGGCGCTGATTTTTGAGAGCAGGACGTCACATGCCCTCATTCCCAACCTCTCGCTGTCATACGTTCGCTACCGCGGGAAATAATGAGCGCGTTACAGTGCATAAATTTGGCCCTGAAGTAAGTTCTCCTCATGCATTTCGCAAAGCTGCACTTCCAAGGAAAAATGAGCCCACAGATCACCAGCGCTTAGAGGAACCACTTGGTAACATCGAGCTATGGGACAACTCAGTTACTGATACCCTCATACGCATGCGAGAAGTTATTGGCCCACGAGCGTTAAATAAGGGCCTTCTCCGAGGGATGTTGCACTCGAAACTACCACAGCAGTTGCAAACCGTGTTAGTAACACTTCATTCCTTTGTCATCAAGTATCCGGTGGTCTCAGATGATAAGATATGGGGATCCCTAATTGGCCTGCCTCTGAAGTATATTCTAAGAGGAAACCCAGGGGTCGGTATCCAGGAGCCACAAGGCCACGCAACTCTGCTGTGCGTCTTCTACGAACCCTAAGCCCCAGGTCACGACATGTGACACAAAAACGCGTTTTGCCCCGTTATGGCATTGCACGTGGCCACCCAGCAGCTAAGTCTCGCGTGATCAAAAATCCTGAGTGGTGTTAGTCACACAACACCAATGGTGAAGAAGCCAGGAATCGTCATAGGCCTCGCATTTTCATAAAGACCTCGGGAAGACTGGAAGCTGCCCATTTGCATGCACGAACAGCAACCACAGCCGGCGGAAGAAGCCGTTTGTTGTTCGTCACCTGCGAGAAAACTATGGTTCTCAACATCGTCGACCATTGTGAAGAAGTTAGGGTTCCTCCCTTAACCTCAAGTGAACGTAATAATGAAGCGCCATTCAATCTCCAAGCTGCCAACGGTGTAGCGATCACGACCTTTAGAAAAGGGTGGGTCTACCTGGACTTAGGTTTACGCGACCCTACCCACTCAATATTTCTTCTGGCTGGTGTTTCCATACCCGCCGACGGCGGATGATGGGTGACAACACGAAATCACCTATTGGGGGAGCTGCTGAGGTAGGCCCGCATGGAGTCATGGCTAGAACGAAACGCCCAGTCCACTAGTCCGATCAGACAGTTTCAAACAAATATCCGGAGTCGAGAAAGTCCACGCATACTGCCGTGCATAATCAGCAATGTTATGCACCCTATAATAGCCACAGGTTCGCTAGAGGCATCCGAAGTATGCCGTCTAGCTCTCGATAAGCTTGGAACGGAGAAGACAAGTTCGATCACATAATTGAACTGGGAACTATCGAGTCGTTAAACTGCTTTAGCGGACTGCCATCGCATATAGTTCTCAAAAAGGAAAGCGGTGAACTCTGTTTGGCCATCGATTACTGAATGCTTAGCGCCTAAATAAAACTGAACTGCTACCTTTTACCTCACATTTCCGGTTTGATGGCGACTTTATGTGGAATGAAAATATTCCGTAACATCAACCTGATCGAAGCGTACAGCCAGACATCTACGTAACGAACTTATCTTGTAAACAGCCACTACTACACTTTTTGGCTTGTTTGAATTTTTGCGCATGTCTTTTGTTCCACGCAATGTAGCACAAACAACCCAGCGCTTTGTTTGAAGATATCTTCCTTAGTTTCGATTTTGCCCACGTGTACATCAACGACTGCTTCATTGCCAGTTCAGATACGGACTCAATTTAAGCATTTGGACCTTGCATTCCATCGACTGCAAAAGCATGGCAGTCAAAATCCGGAAATATCAAATGGAGTTAGGTGTCTCGGTTTCTTCGGCGTACCGTTGAAAGAAAGGTATACGTTAATTAACATATAAAGTGGTAGCTCCTCTGAACTACTTGGAGCTGACCCGCTTGCGACAGCCTGGTAGGCTGTTACCGAAGGTTTATTCTCAATTGCACTTCCATCAGCGGGTCAATCCCAGATCTACTCCTAAGGAATGAAAGGTCTGTGGCTCCAGATCACGTGGCCTTACTTGGTTTCTGTAAGGTGGAGGAAGCCGTCGGAAATGCAACCATGCTTATGCACCATAGCCCCAGTTCTCCCTTCATTGCTGCTCTTGATGTACCTAAATCAACTATCGCGGCAGTTTTGCGACAGCTGGCTGCCAACCAGTGGCAACCACAAGCCATTTTCTCGGGCTGGCCGCTGGAAGCCGAAACAAAGTATAGTTCTTCTGGCTGGGGAACCCTAGCTACATACTGTTCCGCGCGCCATTTTCGAGATTTGGTTGAAGGTTGTGATCTCATCATTTCCACGGACCACAAACCACTGACTTCCTCTCTTGGCTGAATATCCGACAAGTACTCCCCCGTAAGTCATGACAGCTGGTCTACATTTCCCAGTCCGCTTCGGATATTCGACACATCTGGAGCAAAATAACTTTGCGGCTGACGCATTATCGTGAATATCTTCAACAAACCGTGTCGGTGTTTACCTTTTTGGATTCGCTCGACTTCGAAAAGGCTACCATGGGATAAAGCAAGCATGAGTTGTCATGCAAAACGCTGAGCTGCGACGGCGTTCGGTAAAATAAGGCGCAGACACACTTCCGTGCGACGTATCCACCAGGCAACGGCGCCAAATGGTTCCGAAAAGATATCAAAGCAATGTTTTCAATATGTCACAAAAACCACCTCACCCACGTGTGCCAGGCGCTGTTAGGCTTGACGCACAACGTTTCAACTGGCCTGGGATAAACAAAGAAGTTCAAGAGTGGACACAGTCGTGCGTAGCCTGCCAGGAAGTAAAGTCGCATGGCACACGAAAAGTCCTTAGGTGCTTTTCTAACCCCAGATGCACATTCCAACTGCACTGACGTG